TATATATATATATAAAACAGAAGTAGTCTGGGAACATTGTGCACTAACTAGGTGGTAAAAATAATCCAAACCTAGGGGTGGGATTGGAATTCTTCTCCTCACACTACCAAGGAAGATAATTTGCCCTAGACACTGACTAGCAAGTGATTGTGTTGACGGTATAGACAATTCTTTGCCGCACAACCAGCCTGATCTTAAGAAGGCAGTGTGGAAAATTCATCTATCGATGCGAATGTAACGGCGATCAATGATTCCGAAACAAACAAAAAACGTCGTCACTGGAATGCGTGTACATTGCCAGGGTTGAAAGTATGCCACCAAAATATAAGTGCCACTACAAAGAAACTCGTAAAACAACTACTGAAGCGTTTCCGATCGACTAAAATGTACAGAATGAGCTCGGGAGCTAACTTAAAGAAGTCCACTGAAGAGTGAACATGGTTGCCAGAATATAACCCGTGATCATCTAAGCTAAGTGATCCCACATGCTTCAACACCTCAAGCGGGGTTAGAGTTTCATTAGTGCATGTAACCCTCCTTTGAATAGATGCAGTATTGAGGAAATAAATTCACTGCATACCACTCTGCTTTTGACGTTGGCTTTTGAAGAGTTTTCAGCAACCCCATGAGTAGCATATTACGTCTATTCAGATGCAGTATTGGTTTGTAACAGGAGAATCGAGATTAGCTGTTTGAAGCGTGGACGTTAACTTTAATGCTAGTAACACTGTGAATCGACGCGCACACGATTCAAAAGGAATAATGCGAGCATAAACAAACCGGTGTTCACATGGTTTGTATCCAATTATCCTGAACATCGTGAACTACTTAAATCCACAAGCACGACACGCGGTTGCCTAGTATATCCCCAATCGAAACCTCCATGTTCCTTTCTCTTAGCTATCTTTATGACTTCGGCATGAGTCAGTTAACTCCTAAAAGACGAATGGACGAAATTGTGGCAGCTACAACTACTGTACGACGAGTAGGCGGTTCCTACAGCTGATAGTGATGATAAACGGTATTCGGACAGAATATGTAGTTGACTTGTGCACTGGAGTAAAAGATTTCTGCCGAGTGAGTTTGGGGCGACGTTTACCCCGTACCGACTGTCATCAAACCTCTCCTCTATTTCGCAGACGGGCATACAATAAACATTTAGCTGGGGCCTGTTAATTCACGACATAATTTAAGATGAAGTCGTCCAGGAAAAACTATACTGCATCACACGAACTCTATCGGATGCAACCCTATGAGCCTGAAATAAATCAGAAATGCGAGTCAGAGGGCTTTGCCATTTCTGTAACACTGAAGAAAAGGTGTCTTGTTTTGATTAATGAAAACCCTGGGCCTTGAATTTAGTTAGATAACATTGCAGCGATTAACCTTATATATCACCTGGTTAAATTCCAGTCCCATTGGTTTGCAAGGATGCCGCTCGAGTACCAACGGACTGGCAGCGCCTATGTGATGGTTAGGGGGTTGTGCTACTCAGCGGTGCACAGGACTCCTAGGTGAGTGTGGTATCGTCCAGAATCGAACACAGCTAGCTTTTGGTTTCACGGAACCTACTAACGAAAAGCGGATACTGTATGATTTAATATTCAGTCAGGCGCCTTCGAATGGGTTTACGAAACTGCAATCTTTTCCTGCATATTACCTTTTCATCATTCTGATCCGTTTGAATTCCTTTAAATCTCTGTGAGCGACTACGCGCCACTGACAATGCAAGAAACGGGTAGGACATGAAGCAAACCTACAAAATCAAGACAAAGTGGCAACAGATTGGTCATAAGCAAATAATTGCAACGTGGTTGCTGGTCTGTTCGCCCAGCTTGGCACTTGGATGCAAACGTTTTATCACAACCCGAGGTGATATCTTCAGTGCGGGGTTGAGTCCACTAACATCCTACAAAACGGAGTTTTCCAATAATCTGATACCGTACTTCTGAAGATTGATTTAACACCAGAAGATGCGGAAAATCTTGCATATCAGTCACTTCTGATGATTAACTTGATTATTCGAAACCTTGGTGTTATCCCGTCGAATGAGAATTGTATGCGTTATATCCACTGCGAGGGTAGGCCCCGCTTGAGCTGCGCAATGAGGTTTTCCTAATATATCCACATCAGGGGGTGCCTGCAAATCTGGCAATGCGGATATACGCTACTTCACTTTACCCGCCATTGTGTAACAGTATGCACGTACTACCCTTACCACTTTCACAAATATGCTAAAGAGAATCTGGTTTCAGCATTAGATTGATCTACCGATGAAAAATCCTTTGAATATATCTACAGCCAAACAATAAAAAATGGTAGCCGGACACCAGGAGCCATGTGTGCATGAAGCGCTGGACATTAGGTAACGAAAAGTATAAATATTTGATTGAAGTTTTTGTCTTTTGTCAGCGACATTTGAGTCAATGCTAAACTAGTACTGCACTTAAAAAGCAAACAGTAATTTATTAGTAATCTTTACAACTCGAGAGAGTGACGTTTTTGCCATATCGCAGTGGTAGTTGGACAGAGGGTCACTTGGATAGTAAAAGCTGAAGGAACAGGTGGGAGAAAAGATGAAGGCGTCCGGTCCAAACTAACCAGAGGAATCATGAAAGGTACATTTGGTGGATAAAACTCACCTATTTAGATCGTTCGCTTTACCGGTATGTTTACTAATTTCTGTAAAAATAAGCAAGTCCCAAGTAATTGGGGAAAGGCAAGTAAATTCCGGCCACAAAGTACCCGACCGCCATACAAGATGTACTAGGATCCGAAATTCGTCTCTTTATCTGCGGCCGGAAAAGTTGGTGATAGCAAGAATTGGCCCCGTTTCATACTCGCTGATGAAAAATGAGGGTAAACGACCCTGTTATACGAATAAGCAACATCCCGATTTTACTGACCTGTAGCGCCGCTTCGTTCCCAATGGCCACCAGCGGTCAAAGAATCGAGTCTTCTTCACCGATGTTTGAGGGACTGTCTGCCGTGACTGACGGGTGCGTTGGGTGTGCAGAACGGAATTCAGGTCATGAGTTGCGGTAACCTCAGTAACTGGTTTGTGCAAATCTTCTGCATAGTGAAATTCGACAAGTGGTGCAACATCATCCAACTCTGTGCCAAGGTGCGCATTGACCTGCGGTGCGTATGGATGGGCCGGGCTGTCGACTTTAGTCCCATCGCTGGTTGCTACATGTGGTGGTGGTTTGGCCGAAACAATGATTATGCGATCCCACTCATCAATAAACTCGCAATCTCGAGCGACCGATATGGCTGTCAACATGTTATCACCTACAGATGCAAGGCACGCGAAGACAAACGTAACTATGCTACAGATAATCTGTATATTTATTATATATATATATATATGTATATTCATTAACCCAAATTATACAGTCCGAACCATGCTTCCAACCTACCTGTCACCATGACAGGCAGTATGTTGGCATCTTTGATTAGGTAACGAAAAGTATAAATATTTGATTGAAGTTTTTGTCTTTTGTCAGCGACATTTGAGTCAATGCTAAACTAGTACTGCACTTAAAAAGCAAACAGTAATTTATTAGTAATCTTTACAACTCGAGAGAGTGACGTTTTTGCCATATCGCAGTGGTAGTTGGACAGAGGGTCACTTGGATAGTAAAAGCTGAAGGAACAGGTGGGAGAAAAGATGAAGGCGTCCGGTCCAAACTAACCAGAGGAATCATGAAAGGTACATTTGGTGGATAAAACTCACCTATTTAGATCGTTCGCTTTACCGGTATGTTTACTAATTTCTGTAAAAATAAGCAAGTCCCAAGTAATTGGGGAAAGGCAAGTAAATTCCGGCCACAAAGTACCCGACCGCCATACAAGATGTACTAGGATCCGAAATTCGTCTCTTTATCTGCGGCCGGAAAAGTTGGTGATAGCAAGAATTGGCCCCGTTTCATACTCGCTGATGAAAAATGAGGGTAAACGACCCTGTTATACGAATAAGCAACATCCCGATTTTACTGACCTGTAGCGCCGCTTCGTTCCCAATGGCCACCAGCGGTCAAAGAATCGAGTCTTCTTCACCGATGTTTGAGGGACTGTCTGCCGTGACTGACGGGTGCGTTGGGTGTGCAGAACGGAATTCAGGTCATGAGTTGCGGTAACCTCAGTAACTGGTTTGTGCAAATCTTCTGCATAGTGAAATTCGACAAGTGGTGCAACATCATCCAACTCTGTGCCAAGGTGCGCATTGACCTGCGGTGCGTATGGATGGGCCGGGCTGTCGACTTTAGTCCCATCGCTGGTTGCTACATGTGGTGGTGGTTTGGCCGAAACAATGATTATGCGATCCCACTCATCAATAAACTCGCAATCTCGAGCGACCGATATGGCTGTCAACATGTTATCACCTACAGATGCAAGGCACGCGAAGACAAACGTAACTATGCTACAGATAATCTGTATATTTATTATATATATATATATATATGTATATTCATTAACCCAAATTATACAGTCCGAACCATGCTTCCCACCTACCTGTCACCATGACAGGCCGTATGTTGGCATCTTTGAGAGTTTGAATAACAGAATTGCTTTCCTTCTTCAGTCGATTTTCCATGATAAGGTAACCCAAGAACAGCAAATTTTGTTCGGCGCGTTCGCGTTCTATGCGAAGTGCCCGTACACAGGAAACCTTCAGTGGCCTCCATGCCAGAGCCAACACCCGGTACCCGTCTCTGGCATACTTCAACAAAACTGATTGAAAATCCGACGGGACTGGAAAACAGAATAGAAGTGACACTGTGGCTAGACACTTATCAAACGACAATTTTCGGGTAGCTTATAAGTCATCTAGTGAAACATTTCAACACACTTGTGTGTGCTACATGTGATATTATTGGGCGGCCAGGCGTACTTTGAATGCAATTTCGTTGACACGGCACCACACCAATCATTCTGACAGATATTTAGTGAGCTAAGAACTGCCCACCGGTACGTGAGTGATTTTTCTGTTGGATTCTTGGAGTCATTGAGACTCAAGAAAGACGTGAAAACGTGTGTGCACTGATTGTGCACTACATAAGGTCGCGAATTCCACACGCTATCCGCTAGGATGCTTTGATCAGTATGCGTCAGTATACACCCCTAATGTACTTTCCATCCACTCTGATTAAATTGTGGAACGTGGCGTTAGCCCTAAAACTCAAATTCCTGCACAGGCAACCAGTGGAGTAAACAGCTAGGGGAGATCATTGTTAGTGCTACTCCAAATAGTGCATAGTCCGGTCTAGGGTGAAAGCAGAATATGAATAAAAACCAAACGGACATTGTTTGGTTTCGGCTATTTAGCAATACTTGGCACAAACAATTGTCAGAGCAAACTTGCACAAGCAACTTACGACAAATGAACTGGATAGCGGATCTTTTTTATAGCTCGATTGTCTAACCAAACATGTAACTTGGACGGACCATTAAATCAATAATCGGTAAAGGCGGATAATATCGTTAGGAGCAACCATTGCCACCACATGATTTGAGGTAGGATGAGAGGCCGAGTCAGGGAGATTTCGGCTCCCGTGTGAATCCTAGAGGATCTTGAAAAAGGACACCTAAATATTGCGGTAAAGCTTGCAGCATTGTACCGATGATGAGTAACGGGTAGTTTGTTTGCTGGGCTGCATTATTCGGTAGCGGTTTACACTGAGAAAATTCTTGTTACTTGGCAACAGCCGAGAAAACCGAACTTGCGATCCAATCGCGATGTAAAGATTGTCACTCTAGCCATTAACGACATCCATAAAAAATAAATCATTCAGCTGAAACATCCTTTCGGTGCCTAGCTGGCATGTTACCTAAAGGAGGCATGAGGGCTGAGATACTGCCAGGTTGCCCAAACATAGACGGGCAAAGCCGAGAGGCGGAGGTCGGGTTCGAATCACGGACCTTTCGGCCAGTAGATTCATGCTCTAGCCACTTGAGTCATCTCGCCCCTAACGACATACATACGTAGACGTTGGTCCCTCAAATCTATCGTGTTTGGATATAGTGATACTGCTTGGTATAGCTCGAAAAATGCAAAAGCTAGGAAGAGATTTCCCTCCCCAATCAACGTATACAACCTGGTGAATACAGCAAACTATCATTCCCTCGGACCGATGAGTATGCAAATATAGAAGTCCAGTTCAACAAGATGTGTGTATAGTAGAAAGTGATCGGTAGTGCATATGAGTTTAGTGGGCAACAAGCCCTGAAGCGACGTTCCTCGACGAAGCTGAAGTGAGACAGGTAAGTCCCACTACAACAGGATCGCATGCTATCGGATCAAGAGGCCGGAGAATGACTTCATCTTTTTTCCTGAACAAGTCCAAATTCGTGGTTTTTTCATGCAGTTCCAGTAACTTGTTTACGGTGAGACAACTGACGAGAAATAGTTGACCCTACTGACATTTTGTGCATCTAATTGCGCGAATCACCCGATGCCTTCGCCAAAACAGTTTATTAGATAATATATCCTAATCAGAATTTACCAAATATACACCTATGCGTAAGAAGCTAACTAGCAGATTTCTACAAGTTGCTGTTCACAATTCACTCTAGCGGAAGTTTGATCGACTTTTTGTAAATAACTTTTATAACTCATATTGAAGTGAGCCAACAATAAATGAGCCGTCATTTGGATTGCGCGGAGTAGCCGACGTTTAAGTCTAAGGATGTTTCATCCAGGATCTTGAATGAGAACCAAACTAGACAGAACAATCGACAACCTGTTAATCAGGAATACAGTGTTCACAACATGACTGTTACGTAAGGTGAAATAAACTTGCGTGACCAAAAAATCGTTTGTTTCAGCGAGTGGGTCATAAGATGTCCAGAGTTGCGTGTCAGTGGTGACTTTTTGAGTTATTATGGTCGATAGTTGCACCAAGATGGCCTACACTGACTGACTTTCAGCTACCACCTTAACGTAGTTAGCTAGAACTGTTCAGTGAATTGTTGCTCCTACTCACTAAGAACGCTGGCACGCCGTAGACTGATGGTTTATCAGTTTAACCGGCAAACTATTCAGTGGATCATCCTTAGGGAATCATTTTTTTAGGGAGAAGGTTGCTTTGTCAAGCACATGATTAATCATGCTTGCGGACGTATTCTCGTGAGGAAGGTCGACGGGATATGAACTCTTCAGAGGGCTCTGTGATTAAGGAGCGAAATTATTGGCCAGAAGGTCCACGGTTCGAACCCATCCCCAGTATCTCGACTTCTCCCTTTTGGGTTTGGTTAACCTGACAGTATACCGGCCCTCGTGCTTCCCCGGGGTGGTATGACAGCTAGGCACCGAAAGGGTGTTAGAGCCCGGTGAGTTTTTTCAGATAGCACAACGAAAGTTGGGAAACGGTGACAGCTGGGAAACAGTACATTTCATGAGAAGCCCTTCTTCGAGGAAAACGAACTAATACTAATAGGCTGAATGAGCGACTGGTTGATTCGGTCTTTCAGCAGCGTCGGCAATTTTCCGAAAATTCTGGAGGCTAAATTTTTGCAAGTGTTCCTCGGGAACCAGTGCAGCTGAATTTGCTGGTACTGGTGGCTATAATCAATTGGCAACATTGATGCACTTTCGACTGCTGAAGATAATGATGACCAGAACCACGACAAACAGTTCACCGTGCGTGGTTTATTTACATACGTTGGTCTGAAAAACATAATATCAGGTATAACGAGTGATCTCTGACTCAGCTCACACCATCATATTTTCGTGTCCACAGAAGAGCTGATGAGCCAGTGTAATTGCACGCATGTATGGTAATTTATGAAAACTTAACACATCAGACTTAACAAATTACAGGTGAAGTCATGCTAACATTGTTACTCCACAACAAATGTAATGTGCTTACTTGTGTCACGACGGCAGAGTGTTTCTATCATTTCTGGGGCGCCTTTTGCGTACACACAGAACTCGGAGCCATACAAAGATCGTGTGATGACGGACATTCGTTGTAACGAGGATGTAAAGGGAAACTGACGCAAAATACCGACCTCGTAAGCACCCATCTACAGATATGGAAACAAATCAACAAGGTTCTATGACAAGAAGATGTCGATCGCAGTCACTGTTGCACTGGTAGGCAACCAAACTGAGAGTTACTAAGTGGTTCCAGAAATGATATAAAGTAATCTATGGCTTAGTACTGGTGCTCGGAAAACTCTACTCAATTAGATGAATGGAAGTACAGCTCAATGCCGAAAATAGTTCGGAAACGAAAGGAACTACGCCTATGTGATAGCTTCAGGCTAGCGGAAAATTAAAAAAATTGCACCAATCTGCATAGAATTAGTTCACCGACGACCCTGTAGAAAACAAATCTGGGGTCATCACTAGAACGTCCATGTGAGGTTATAGAGCTTCCATTGGTCGCCCCATTCGATTGCTAGCCTTAAAGATTAAGTAATGCAGTGTGGGCATCCAAGCTATCGCCCTGCTAACAAATCAACGTTGTCTTTCCAAAAATGAGTAAACTCAGGGGACTTCACGGAATCGTGTAGTGAATTACACCAATGTACTCCAAAAGGGATAGCGAAGGACTGACGGACAGAAACAAACCGAGGAAAGTTCGACCTCTGACCCGAATCTCTGTATTGTGTGTGTCCACTGAACAGGAACTGGACGTTCACCGTACAACCTAAAATCAGGTCAAGATTGGCTACCATATGGCATCAAAACACGTCGCCTTTTTACATACCATGCTCTGTCCAGGTAAACTTCGGTGAGTAACGCGTAGGCTGGAACTTCCCACCCAAATGTCGGAACACGTTTTCTCATGGATACGTACAAATTCTAATCATAGTGTGCAAAAAGCAGTAATAATATATTGGTTTCACCGCATAGCACACTAGGCTACCAGTCGCCCTGGAAGCTCAGCTGCCTGCAATTCTCTTTCCCAGTATTTTATGTTGTGGGCTGTTCAGGAAGCCAATCGAAGAAGTTACAACCACTTAACGTGTTACGAACTAGCCTTGCCTGCCGACTTATTATGCGACGGAATGTATCAAAACGACATCCCAGCTGTCCTATTTGTTTGTTTTTTGGACAACCAAAGGAATGCGTTATTTTTAAATGCCGACAGCATCGTAAGCTAGATGTGTACTCTCCCCATTTAACAATCCCCCATATCTGTATATGTGCCCGTCAATACTTCCCGATAAGGAGGAACACTGTGCCCGGTTTTATCAGCATTTCAGTATGGACTGACTTTAATTTGGAGAACGAAGACAAAGTCTTTATAGGTCCTGTAAATTAGGGATTGCAGCTTACGAGTGGTTCTGCGGATAGTTCACGCATCATATTTGCTGCTTATATTTAGATATACATTAGGAACTCTTGTTTAATACACAGCCAAATCTCGTTTCACTAAAATGCGCTAAAACTTGGGAAACCTGGATTCACTGCAGCATACCTATGTGATCACCATTTTGTTGCACGGAACCGTATTGTGTGTTCCAGAAAGTGTCGGATCTGTGTTACAATGCTGTGCGTTTTGCATTGATTCGATTGACTTACCCTTACTCTGAGAATACCGGACTACTGGTTTAGACCTTAACAAACGGATTATCAGTGAGACTTGCCATTGCGTTCAGAGAGCGTCGAATCAAAGCGTGGAATTTGCAAGCTACGTACCTTGTTCTATACAAGAGTCTTTTGGACCAAGCAGCAGTAACACTGAACTGAGCCTGGAATTATCACTCGGTGGTCACCAAATGCACACAGCCGATCTCGAATGCGCTATGTTTACATACTGGCTGCGAACACGGAAATGTTCCATCTTGTCTGCCTGGACAAATATACGATGACCAACTTCTATCATATTGAAGATAACCACAGTCAATTTTTGGGCGCATTTGGTGCACAGGTTCAGGTAAGAAATCGAAGTTCGGTTCAATTCTATCCGTGACTCCTTCAGAGGGAGGAGGGCGCTCTTGTCAGTTCGTCTTGTTTTTTTCGGCAAACTGAGATAAACGAGGGTGCTGATATGTTCCCGTATAAGCAAAATTACTAATCGTTTTTTGATCCCTTCCCGGGCAGCATATTTGATCATAGAAATTGGCATGGTGTAGGGCAGTATAGTGTTCTTGTGAATGGTTGGTTTTAAAATATCGTGACCGTACACTTAAATGGGTTCAGTGGTGGCTGGCAATGGATCGGATGTTGTTTTCTGCACCTACGCACGGCCTCGAAGCCTAGAAATGTTGTTCCTCTGTTAAAACCGTTCAAAACTGGCGTGATCGTAGCTGAACTCCAAATGTGGTTAGATCATTTACATGCGTCAGCCATGCCTGCTCTTTCAAAATGCGGCGCAGTTCACAAAAGAAGCAAAATTGAAAAGGGATATACCGAAAAGAGCTCCGAAGAACTAACCTGATGGAGTTGAGCGCTCAGATACCAGGTGAAAACCACCTGCCACAAACGCTGAATCCGAAATTAAGTGGTATCTTACAGCTAACTGAAATTAGTGCACACGGATTTCACTCCGGATAGTTGTAGACTATGGGTTCATTTAAATGGTTTCACCACATGCATGATTGAGTCTCTTGACCAATTGAACCACAGTACTATGTTTATCAATCCTCACGTAGCAGTGACAAGGAATAGCCCGGAAATATCAAAAACGAGAGATTCAGCTGGGTTCCAGGTGGGTCTCTCGCAAAACCGCATTTGTTTGCAGATGAGTGTATTTCGCTAAAGAATCAGCTTCTTATTGTTTGTAATGACTGCCTAAGAAAAATGTATAAAAGGCGCAGCAACTTCTGTTTGGCTTACAATGCATACCAAGCACGACAAAGTGTATCTGATTGCTCTCTACAGGGGATCCTTGTTGCACGCATGGAGTTGCACGCAGATGCCGGACGTTTAGACTCCGGAAAATAACATTTACACATTGGTTTCAGAGCACGTATCTTTATGAAACCTAACATTCAGCAAAACGGGCAAAAAATGTCCGTAACTGTACACTGGGTCAGCTTATCTTTATCGGAAATCACCAGCCATATTCATATAATAACTGCAGCTGGATTATAGCACAATCGTTTGCTAACATGTTTGACTACAGAACTGAGGCTACAGGCTAACACCAAATGGTGGGCAACCCGTAGTAGCACACATGGTTAGAATAGCCGTCATGGCCATATACCACAACCAATCGTGGCTTTCTAGTGAATGGTTGTGCCGCTAAGCTCCCGAATCAAAAAAACTACATGGGCACTTCATGGTACTCTAAACCTACTCCAAGCACAAACCATACGACCAATATCCACATGTGGCCATTAGTTGTTTTTTACCCACACTATACGTGCAGCCTGCAGTAAATCAACAATTATCATGTTGCAGCAGGTATATTCTGGCTGCCTCGTGACCAATTTACAAAATTCTGCGCGGGCTGCTTGGCTGAATGGCCGAGAAAAATACGAAATGGTCGAACGTTATAATGGCGATGTACCGTGATGTTCCGAAACTACTGCACAAAATTGTGATCCTACACCATGAGCAGAGATACTTTAATAAACCTTCAGAAGCCCAACGAAACTGCGTCGTAAACTTATTTATGAGTTGCACAATCTCCCTGTGATGCGAATACCCTGCAAATTGATCAGGTGATTTAAAGCACAGCTGACGGGTGACATGGTGCCCTCGGAGGCGATTAATCAGTTGTATCAGAATAACATTAGAAGTTACGCATTCTTATGATGGTACTGTAGGGTAGGTTATTAAAACTGGTTACAGAAAATCCGTTTATGAAAAAAACGTATATGCTATCCATGATACCCAGTTAGGATGAAACAGGAACTAACGAATATTCACAGAAACAACCGTCTACGTGACAGATGATTGGTCGCTTACACGCTAGAACCCCTTGAAGCCGACCCATACAGTTAATTTCTCATGACACTCTTATGAGAGTCTAGCGAGATAGCAGAAAACTATACGTTCGTAATAACCCACAGGGTAAGGTCGGACGATCATGGCATCACACTAGTCTCAGTTAAAAGAGTAAGGTCACCAACGTGAACAATTTCATGCCACTCGGAAAAAAGGTAAAGAAACACCCAAAGACAGCTGAACTTCCGCTAGCCAAGTACATAAGGTTTGGATGGTGGCCTTTTACTTTGTCTCACTTCCCCGAAAGGGATCACTTGGTCGATAGGGTTCAATTCGGGAGGCTTAGCTGTTTGGAGTGGATCAAATCTGGCAGTCCTACTAGGGATGATGAATAACGCCCTCATTGCGTACATTCTCATTAGTTAAAAGTTGCGGTGACTTGAACCACTTCACTGGCGAACATTTTTATGGACTTTTCACGGTTGATGCCATTACATGCGAATAAAAATACTCACCAGTTGGTCTTCCTCCAACGGATTTTCTCGAACTGGACGCACCACAGAAGGTATAGGCATGTCAAACTTACACTGACCTTCGGGAAACTCTTCCAGAAATTCCTAAAAAGCACACGGATGCACATACATTAACTGGATAGTCTTTCATAACAGAGACCGGAAACTGACGTTGCAAAAGAGCATCACAAAGAAAGCGTGATTTTTAGTTTATAATTTTCTATTGGTGTCACCGGCCAACCGGGGCTTATTTCGTCATTATCCAAACAATGGAATCACCAACAGAGGTTATGGGACTAACTCCGCTTTTGTGCAAATCATCATCATCATCATTATCAGCTGTAATAACCGCGTACTGGTCGTACACTGGTTGTAGCTGCCACAGTTTCGTTCACCGATGATTGGGGGGTAAGTAGCTGCGCATTGCACGCGCGAGCTGGTAAAT